ACTGGTGCTTTCGGTGTTTTCATGTTCGACCTGAGCAGGACACGTTTCGGAGGTCCAAAAGCTCCAGGTGTTCGATGGTTTTCATGTCCATTTGTTTGGCAAAACACCTCCTAGGATCCACGAGTGACACGCAGCTTGTGGTGCGACGGGCAGGTACAGGGAGATGTTGTTGGGCGGCCGTTACTGCCCTGAACAAAGAGGTTGTTTTATCATGTTGGATCCGACAAGGGACAGGGAGACATGATGAGACATGTGTGCAGTTTAATATTATCAATGACAGATTCCCCAAGTCCCGGAGTCGAATGTTTGCCCCGTTGACGCCAGCTGCCAGCCTTGGACACGGTATCATCATGCGGCCAGTGTGAGCCAGTGTGTCCCATGGTGCTCTTGTGAGATTTGTTTATTGGATTCCACAGATATTGGCTCTACAGGCCACTGAGCAGGCGAAAGAAGAGCACCACGCATCGCTATGCGTGACCTAAGCCGATAGCGAGAAGAGCACCACACATCAGGTATCAAAGATCATTTGCCACTGACTCAGTACTTTGGGGGAACAGTTGATTTTGAATCGACTTGCTTGTTGGGATGACTTCTTCCTTAAACCAGATTGAGAACTCTGGAGGCAAACACTGAAGGAGCCTAGCTGGAGGTTCTCCTACAAGTATGCAACGTCAACTCGATGCACAGGTGTGCATGCATACTAGTGCCATGCTGCAAAATTATATATTTGATCAGTGTATATCAGTGTATTAATGCACAAGGAATCTTACTTATAAGATTAGATTGCATCAATCTGAGCTATCGCCCACAACGACCGCCGTCTACTGAATGATTTCGGACTCTTCCCCTAGCCAGTAATTCCCACCTGGAGTGGATTGGAATATTTGGAAAAAGCATGAAAAAGCCGTATATAATATATATATATAATATATAATTTAATATAAATATATAATATATATACCAGCACCACCCAAAGGGTGGTTTATAGACCCCCCTGACTATTTAATGTCCATCTAATCACCACCCTTTGGGTGGTGCTGGCATATAATATATATATATATATATGTTTGATTCTCCTGAACCCCTCGGTTTCAACGGATCCTCGAAAAACCCCGCACCCGTCGGAGACGGCCGGCCGCCCGCGGTGAGGCGCCTCCCGGAGCATCGTCTCCGTCTTCCACAGTCCGGCGCAGCAAGTGGGACTCAGGCTGATTTGCCAAGGCCTCAGCGGCCAGAACGATCCCAAACTCCCTGCAGAACATGATCCACCATGCAGTTGTACCAAGATGAACGTGTAAGAAATGGAGAGCAAAAATAGCAACCTTGAAAAGTGGTGTGGGAGGTGTCACTCTGTCAAATTCACAATCATTTGCCACTATTCTGCAGGACGCACGAGCGATTTGAAACCCCAAAAGCAGAAACCACAGTTGTTCCTCCCTTGAGTTGTTTGCTTCTTTGATCTTCTTTGCATATCTTTGCAAAAGCGAAGAAGCCTAGCAAACAAGCCTAGCAGATGTGGTCGGTTGTACATTGTAGGCTGTATTCCTGGGCTCGAAGGAAACTAGACTCAAAACCATTGGTTGGGGTTCATGTCGTTTTCCTGCATGAAATTGCCTTACGGCCAAAAACCATCAAACACCATTGGTTGGGGAGGTCCCTTATTTGAATACGCATCCATATCAGCACCCATATCGGATACCGCTTCTAGGATACCTCGTTCGGATACCGCCGATCGATTCCTCGGCGCCGATGGATCTGAAGTGCTGCCGAGGCCTCAACCGTCCGGGCATGGGACAGGCAGGGCTGCTTGACAGACATGGAGGGATAGAGGAGAAGGGGATATGATGTTTGAGTAGCAGTTGTTGCAGCCCTGCAGTAGAAGGAGTGCTGAAATGGCAGTTTTATTTTGCAGTGTTTCTTTGAGGTCAGTGCTACAGTGCTACAGTTAACTTCTATCCCCAAAGCCACAGCTGACTCTATAGTTCGTTCTTGGGGCCAGCTGGTCCCTTCCCTCCATGCTGGTCCAGCTTCGGTCTTTCGTTGGCTCCCGGCCAGCGGTTCAAGGGTCTCTTGTGTGTTGACGTTTTTGCCCCGCAGTGCGGTTCAAGGACCTTCTTCATTATGAATTCTTGGACTCATACCTCAAAGAAGCATGTATTGTTTATGCTCAACCAAACGCGCTGTTTTTAGAATTCTTTTTGCAGTAGTTACGGTGAGCGGGAGCATGCATGCTCCGACGTTTTGACTTGGCATAATGTACCATAGTGGACCTGACAGGAAGAAGAAATGCATGACATATCAAGCATGCCCAGGGACACCATGCCATGTATGGAATTCTTGTATGCAATATTATGCAATATATATATACTGCCTATATATAGGTTTTATCCTTTTGCAATCACCCCAGCTGGTCGGTGATGGCTCTTAAATGGAGCTTTTGGGACATCGTGTTGGGACAGAGGGTTTTGCGCCCGAAAAGGCCTCCCCAGCCGCGGTAGGACGGGAGCTCAGTGCGGGTTCGGACGCAGGGTTAATTGAGTCAGAGCACTTGGTAGTTTTACACATAGGCAACCAAACATAATATTTAGTATTGTTGCTTGCAAATGTGTTCAGGGTATGTTTTCAGGTCATCCAGTTTCACTTGTTAGATTGTTGTTGGAGGCACAAATCAGAAGGCAGTTAGGAATGTCAGTGGCTAGCGGTGAATACAGGATTCATGCTATGAAGGTGCATTTGTGTCTCGGGCCTCAACAGCCTTGACACCTTGTGGTGTTGTTTTTGTGGCTTTCTCGGTGTCTATGGCAGCCACACAGAGGATGCTGGGAATGATGAACTTTGTGTTTTTTTCAGTCCATTGCTTCTTAGCCACCCCTTTGTTGAAACCACTCTGACGATTTCGCTTAGATGTCGATTCAGATGGCCCACAATGTCTGGAAGTTGAGTTTCCCTGCATATACCACTATTTCTGCAGCTTAACTATAGCTTAACATAGCTTATTACTGATAGAGCATGATCTGGCCACTGGTTTGATGATCTGAAAACACCCCCACCCAAAGAGGTCACAGAGGTCACCTTTCACAAGCTGGACATATTATACGGCGTGATTTGGTAGGTACCTTGTATGGTTGGGAGTCATGCGGTTGGATTTAAGTTGATTTGGTTTTAGGTGGTTGATTCACTTGTTTCGTTTGACTGTTGTTTCAGGAAATGTGGGTTTCAGCCAGTTTCAATGTAAGATTTGGTTGCGTACAGTACAGGGGGTTACTTGGAAGAAAAATGGGACAATTGTGTTGGGTCAAAACTTGGAGATTGATCTATTGAAGAGAGTTTGTCGGCCATTTGCAGCATTTTTGTTCCCTGTGGTTTGGATCTATTTTGGGAACTCTTCGCTCCAAGGAACTCTTTGCTCATGCTGCCAAAAAGCCACTGGGCGTTTTTGGACCAAGAGTTTCAGTTCTTCTTCATCTAGATAGAGAACTTTGAAACTCATTGAAGCTCATTCAAAGGGTTGAACTCATTCTGGAACTCATTCTAGAACCCTTTGAAACCAAGATGGAGTTCACTCTAAATTGACCGGACTTGGTCAGGACGTCTATCGAGTCCGGGACCTGTTTCGGACTCACCTATCGTCCCTCTCGGTCTCGGCGGTCTCAGACTCACACCTGGAGCTCCACTGCAAAGACACGGTCGCCTGTGGGGAGACTCGTGGAGAACGAGACGAAGACGATAAGCCAAGAAGTGGCGAGGTCGCTGGAAGGTGGTGAGGTAGGTAGGTATGGCACCCCCAGAAAGTGAACACAGCGCCATGGGCCCTGGATTGAGTACGTGTGAGCATACACGAGAAGATGTCTTTTTCAAGCAAAACCGGCACGGTTTGAGACCCTTTTCTCGTGGCCGACCTGAAACTCGATGAAGACTGGGAAGCCTGGCTCTCACACTGGCCATGGGAACCGTTGGGAACCCACTGGAGATTGAATTCACCCCAACCAGTGCCTCAGTGGCTTTGGTGGGCCATGTGCGAGGGAAGAACGGCGCCCACATGAAGCTCAGGTTCTAAAAGGACCCTCTTCTGTGATGCAGCTGTTTGAGATCTGGAGGTCATCATTCTTTCTGAGACCTTTTTATTGATATTTGTTCGTTTCAGGGATCAACTTTTGGGATGAAGATCTCATTTGCAGCAAAAGTGATCTGATGGGATCCGAATCTCCCAAGGCGGTTCAGAGCTACGAGTCACCATCAACCCATGCCCAGATTGCACAGTCTGGGTGTTGGTGTTGTTTTTCTTGTTAAAGCCACGGGTAAGTACACCCAGTTGCCTGTGCTAGAGCCGCTACATGTGAAGAATGACCTCTCATCAAAGCTGGAAATGAACTGCTGCTACTAGGCATGAACATAAAGAATCAAGATGGATAGACTTCTCGAGACTCCCGGACTGCCGGCCTCCCAGCTTGCCTGCTTGCCTGCATGGGAGTCGAAGAGGTGTCCCTCCCAGGTTTCGCGTGGTGGGTCCACGGCGCCATAAAGCGGTTTCGGGTCATGGCACCGCCCGGTTGAGCCTGGTGGGTGGACCTGCCTACGTAGTTTGGGAAAGGGTCATGAAGAGTCTCACGGTACCTTAGTATTTGCCTTTATTTCAACGAGCTCTTGGATCCGAGTTGGGGGTTGACTCGATGACTTGACACGCGAGTAAGCCGCGGAAATTCTGGTGCGACGCCGAAACGCCTGCGGAAACTCGTGTCAAAGTTGTCGTTGGTCAAAGAAAATTGAAGAGCAAGCGCAAGAAAACTCAAGGGCATTGACACGTCTATCCATGCATCTTGCATTGAACATGCTTTCCACGACAACGTGACCCCCCTCCAAATCCTATGCAAAAATGACGGTCCGACCTCAGAGCCTAAGCATGTGTAGCATTTTTTGGGACCAACAAAACAGCAATAGGAGTTGCCCAAGTTTGGATTCTTACATCCCTGATTCCTCGCATGCAATTCAAGACGTTTGTAGGATGAGCTGTCACTGCTGAGAGTTGCCATGGTTTGCGGCGTTTCCTCAGCACAGATGGAGAATCAGGAGAAGAAGAGTGGAATCAATACTGTATGCCTTTTTGGTGCACTCACCTGTGATTGAAACTCATGAGTGGGGAGCACGTTTTCGCCAGTCAGCCCAGCTCAAGAATTCACTAAGCTTCTATAACTATACTGTTGCTGTTCCTGTTTCTCAGGTGTGTCCAATCCTGAAACGGGTCGCCCTGAAAAAACAAGACCGTCCAGCGGCCTCGACCTAATGATCAGTCCAAGTTTCAGTTCGGCGGTCAACACGTGGCTTTGGCCTGACAAGACTCAACGACCCAAGGGGTCTATGCTTCTCCTTTGATCCAGCACTTCTCCTTTGTATACAATGTACAGATTCACCTCCCTTCGCAAGCTACGACTCAACACCCTCAGTTCACCTTTCTGTGAACGTGTGACCAATCACTCTTTGAGAGGGTGGCGATCCAGAAATTGGAATATCACATTGACCCTGCTGAACTCCCTGTCAAACAAAACAGTCCCTGGAGTTTGACTGTTTGACCAAGCCATTTGGCAGTTTCCAGCAGGTTCCAGACTGAAGGAGTCCCCGCAATTTACCCCATCCAGCCACCTGGTACTGTAGGAGATTGCTCCATGCCCTTGGAGTGCTTTCAGGCGGACGAGTCCGCACCGAATGCCACGGAATTCTTTGGAGGATGTATGAACACATCATATCATGAAATCCTATGACAAATCCTGTGAAATCCATGAGAAGAATTCGGAATCCTCCGCCAGTGAAGAAGTGAGGTGAGTTGTCGGCTGGCGAGTCTTCTTTTTCGTCCGGAGAGGGTCTAGTCTTCATGTGGATCCGACATGATGCAAACAGCAGAAAACGCGGGGATCGACGGGGAGGTGATGCTGAAAGAAACACCATGAAATCGAATCGATCGAACTCCAAGATATTGGGTTCTTTTGGGTGGCTGAATTATTTCGAAAACCAACACTGAGGCCCTAAAAGGTTTCAACATGGCCCGGTCCCCTACACGGCTGATTCACCTATGATATGCATTGATATGCATGTAAGTTTCATGATAGTCATTCAGAGTTACTGGCCTTAGGCATCTCAATGATTCTCAAGTAGATCCCCTAATCAATGGCACTTGCTACTTGGTCGGTGCGCTTCTGGAACCTAGTGAATCATCTAGCAACTACCAACATCTAGCAAAGGTTCTGTTCCAACCACCCAAGACATTCCAACACCCTGGAGACCACTGACGGAGAGCAGTGGTTCCATGCGGTTCATGCAGAGACCCGCGAGCACAGGTATGATCTGTTGTTTTGCTGGCTTACACCCACCATGCGGCGGGCCAAGGGGCCACTTGGACTGCGTCGATGCACCGACAGTTGGGGCGGCTGAGGTCGGAGTGCCAAAGATGGGGCCGGGCGGCTGGTGATGCGTTCGCTATTGATGCGTCTGCCCTTTTTCCATTGTTTTACAACGAACTACACCGACATAGACCCCAGATAGCAACTGACGCTAAAAAGCAGAAGAACCTGAGACAAAGGAACATTTGGTAGTTCGCAAGCAGAAATCCAGAGAAGTGGGGAGACAAGTGAAGAGACCAATGGAGAGACAAGTTAGGAGACAACAAGGTACGCAACATGCCGATCAGCCACCCGGTCGTTGAGAAGTAAGAAGCCCTACAACTTTTAGCTATTTGGAGAGGAATAACATGCCACGGTTGCAACACACAAGAGCTTCAAGGCACACAAGGAACTGCCGCCACTTCGTGTTTTTTTCGTCCAGAGAAGTCAGCTTCAAGCGCCACTTGAATGGACCCCACAGGCAAAGCTATAACACACTTGAAATCATGTGGGAGTTGATCTAAAGGCCGGTGTAAGATCGTGGAACTTGAGGGGTGTTATATGCCGTTCCAAGAATATTGATCAGCCATTGTACTATGCATATGATCTATTAACCTGCATACCTGCATTGTTCTTGTTTCTACCGGCCGAGTCTCTCGATGCCACTCCCAGATAGGATCGTGTTTCCTTGGTTTCTCCCAGGAAAAAGGTGGAACTGGAGGACTTGCCACAGCTCCCCAAGTCAGATACCCTGGTGCCTTGGCCCTCAAAAAAGTAAAAACAAAAAAAACACATGACGGTTTGGATGGTTTGGCACACAGATCTATGTATATATACTATGGACCAAACAGAGGGACCGCGACGGAGGGGCAGGTGCTTTTTTGTTGAGGAGAGGGGCAAGTGTGGTGCTGGAAGCAGTTTTTGTTTGGTTTTAACTAAGCGGTGATGATGTACGATGAAGTGAGTACATGTTCTTTGGATGTATGACGTGAGTTGTGAGTCACGTCAGCTCCGGCTAAACCGGTTCGAAACCTCGAACAGATGGTGAGAGGTAGTCAGGTAGTCCTCCTGGCGAAAAATGTGCTTCAGGCATTCGAAGCGCAGCAGTTTGCTGGGTGGATCGCGCTGTTCAACCAAGAAGTATGCCGGACCAGAAGATGCCCTTTGGAAACGTGAGACAAGAAACATCCGCAAGACACAAGAAGCAGACCTGGACACCTTAAACACATCAAGCAACAAGCATTTACAGCGTGTTTTGCCTAGTTACAACCTCCCCTTTTTTGTTCACATGAATTGACATGAACATTGTTATCTTTTACATGCTTTTGAACTAGTTTTATCATGTTTTATCAATTGTTGTTTATTGCGAACTAACTATATATATTTGTTTTTTGTTTATCCCTAGGGATCCAAGTACCTTCTCAGAAGGTATTTGGACCCTCCAAACCTACATAACAGTGTCTCCAATCACCTGCTGAGAAGGTACTTGGATCCCTAGGGTATAGCAATCATAACATGTCCGCTGCGCCAAGGCCGAAATCTGGAGCCCCAAGCGGCGGCTTGCGCCACCGGACTCGGTTCGCCGGGTGGCACGTGGAGAGTTCGTTGGGATGCTTTACGCGGCCTTGGCCATGTGGCTAGGCAGCAAACCGCAGAGTTCGTGGGGAGAAAAGGGACACCGGAACGGGGTCAGGGTGTGTTCGGACACGTCTAGGGAGACCGAACTATTTTGCTTGGGTTTGGGTCGCCTTCCAATCCAAACCAAGTTAGTGAAACCTTTTATAGTGTTTTATGTTTTGCGTTTGATTCTTTTGCGTGGCTGGCAGCGATTCGACGCCAGAACGATTCCAGCTTTGAACCAAAAGATAATTTGTTTGAGCGAAGAGCTTGGTGTTTTTGCAAGTTTGGTAGTTGGATAATTTCCAAACTGTGTCTTTGCCGGTTCCTTTTGTGTCCTCCCAAGCAGCAGGGGCCAAGGAGCCAAGCAGCTTCATCAGTCGGTACAGCTGACTGGCTGGTGTCCCAACGAATCTGATGTTGGAGCCTGAGGGAACCTGATATTTGCACCATACAAAAGAGGAACCTTTAATACAGCTTCGTCAAACCTGGGGTGGCTGCCAAGCGAGGGCGTGGAAGGTTTAGATCCAAGAACACCCAGCTTCTATTCATTTGTCTCTCAATGGGTTGTCCATTTAAGTTCCTAACTTGTGCTCCCTCCACCCCTTTCCAAAGGCCACATAAACCTTCACAGCGGCCACCTTCACAGGTTGCTCTATGCCACCTCGATGACTTTGATGCCCGTGGCCATGATGATGGTCATCAAGTCCCTGGGACTGGCACCGAGACAGACCAGGTCAGTCGTGGAAGTGAACAATCCGCGCCACCGTTTGATTTGTTGCATCGCGTGGTGTTTTCATGTCAATTGGGTCTGTGTGGAGAAGGAGAGAAGATCCGTATAGGAAGAAGACACATTGGTGTTTAAGAAATGTTTGCTCGGGTGGTTTGCAACCGCATCTTGGCAGATTTGAGCCTTGGAAAAGCTTTTCAAATATGTGTTCAACTTGTCCAAAATTGTCCAAATCTGGGTGAGATAAGATGAGATAAGTGCATTCTGTCACAAGAAAGTTTACACCTTCATCTTCAGACCGAACAATTCTCCAAGTTTCACAACGCCACTCACGCCGCATGAGTGCAACAAGTGGTCGGGGTGGCATGCTGGATGTCTTAGGATGTTGCTTGTTGGCTTGCAGCTGTGGATCCTGTTGGCCTAGCCACAAATGCTTGCCGGACAAAATGCTCGCCGTTTCGAACATGGTATAATTATGTAATTAATCAACATCATGTTCCTACTACTATCTACTACTCGTAGTCCCTGCTCTAGTTAAAGAGATTATTTGATACTGTATATATGTAGCTTCTCCGAAGTCAGAGGCCCAATCTCAGTGTTTTTCCGTGAGACTCGGTGTGTTTTTCATGAAAACGTCCTTCTTTCCCCCAAGACGAGGTGCGCAGAGGTCGAGGAGACGGATGACTTCAATTGGCTGGACGCCTCCTGGAGCCATCCGGAGGCCTATCGAGCCGGACTCCGTCCGCAGCGCTCTTTTGGGGCTAGTAGCGCCCTTGCTCCGTTCGTAGCGATGCCAGGAGCCCCGTTCGTAGCTCCTTGTTACTAGTAGCTACTTGCTCCTAGTAGTACGGCCAGGAGCCCCTGCTAGCGTCCTGGTGTTTGCTTGCTTTTGCGGAGAAGCCCGTTTGTAGACTCTTCGAATTAAACACTAAGGGTACATGACCCATGCATGTTGAGATCTGTGTTGGAAATGCAGAACGGTTTGTTAATTCTAGTTACTAGTTTATTGTGTTCTCCCCTTGTTGCGCTGTTTTGACATCCAGAGGTGAGGAGGTCCAGCGTTTAGTAGATGGTACCGCCTCCGACCTTCAGAAAAGCGAGCTAGTAACGGTTTGTACGCATCCTGGATTTGCTATTGCGATTCCATTTGTGGACAAGCGGCCCCAGAAAACCTTGTCTCATCCTAGATTTCAGGCAGAGACATTTGAATACCTCCGTGCCAGGCCATGATCTATTGGATCATCATCTATGTGGTGCTGCGTTTTGGACTGAAACGTGAGCATTAACTGGAAGACTGGTGGCCTGTTAGTGTGCTTCGTTCTATCGCGGGCTTGTTCAGGTCGTCAAATGTATTACCCCCCCACTGAGGCAGTCCATTTCAGCGGTGGCAAACCACTGGCAATTCCATTTGGCATATCACGCTGGTCAGCGGATGCGGGCACAGGCCATGCCGGTCGCTTCAGGGGTCCCTCAGTCGACGACGTCCAGGCGGATGAACATGGAGAACGATGCGATGAACCGTTGAAATACCGAGAAGCTAAGCTATAAGTGACCCCTGTTTTGGAGCCAAAACATGTGTTGTTTTTTCTATCACAGCAGAGGTCAATGGGCTCTAAGTATATAAGGAGTTCTGGGAATGGATCCAAAGGAATCTCTGGACCAGGTGGCTTATGCCCTTATTCCTGACTAAGCCAGCAGTCAGATGGTGAACGTTTGTTCCACTTCCCGGGTGTTGTTCAGTCGCCTAAAGTTCCAGACATGGAACTTCGAAGTTTCATTTAGTAATAGGACCACTTCAAGTGAATCTCCTGGTTGATCCAAGTTTTTTTGTTTCGTGTGTATTTGTTCCCGAAGCAGGGCATCCGTTTAAGGGGGGAAGCAGCAATGCTGAGCAGTGCGCAGGTGATCTTGATGGTCTTCCAGAGCCTTGGCCTGGAAACCAGGAGATACCACTTCCGGTATAGAATCACTCAAGCGCAAGCAACTCAAGCGCTGTTGGAGGCGTTTCGCTTCGCACTGTTGAGCATGTTCGCTTCGACGGGCCGCTTACTTGTGTTCGCTTCGAACGTAGGGAATGAGGGAATGGAATGAAGGAATAGATCCTTCTTGGCATCTATAGATAGGGGGGTCATTCGATTCAATCAACTATGAGTCGCACCAATCTGTCAGTTGTGGTGTTTCTCACGGGCAAAACGGATTTTGGACAAAGGGAAATGATCACTGCCAAAAACGGTTATTTGTGGTTATTTCACTTTGTGTTTGGAATGCATCTCCTTAAATAGCGATGTTTCATGATAATTCCTTGATATATCTTGATATACTTTACATGTCAAGTTGTAACTGATCCAGAGCGCAAAAGAGTCATCATCTTGTAGATTCCATCCCAACAGTGACAACGGACAGGTCGTTATCTAAGGACAAGCGTCCATGTTTCATGTCTAGAGACCATGAGGGCAACCCAACATGTTCCTGTTCCCTTTCTATGAGATACCGATCCCAGACAGTCCAGGTATTCCTTTCGGTAGAACTCCCTCTTCGCATTCTTGAACTGTATTATATGCCATAATTAAATCATAATCATGAATCATATTGTATTAACAATACAATATTAAATGAGTATATAATCATATTATGATTACAATCATATTACTGAATCATGTTATTGTTCAACAATATAGATCGCTTATCGTTTATCTACAAGGATCGATTGAGGAGCCACGGTCCTGGGCCACGGCGGCCACAGGGGCCACGTCGACCAAGCAGTGGGTCACCGGCGCGTAAGAGTGGAAGAGTTCTCCCAAAATTCTTAGACTTGAAAACAGTGAAAATACCCAAACCCACTTGAAAACACCCAAATGTCATTGCCATGGCATCCTCTACCATGTGTCTTCCTACCATGTTTGATTGCTGCCGTCGTTCAAGACAACGAAGACGTCCCGTCCCAGCTGAGTTGGGACGACTGAGGAAGGCTTTGAAGGTGGATCCCCGGGTGAGGCGGGACACGGGAGGACGACGGGAGAGGCGGTGCCGGGAGAGGTCAAGTGGATGGATAGACACCAATGAAGAACAAAGTGAGGTTTCTGTGCTAGGGCAGGGTGGGTGGTTCCATGTTCAGGGGATTTTGGTCGTTGCTGGGTAATGGTCAGGAGTGATACAAGCACCTTTTCCTTCAGGATGGTCACTTGACTACTCAGATCGTAAGATCTGACGAACGCTACACAGCAACCCAGCACAGTTCTTCGCTGTGAAGGAACAGTCTTGTGTGAACGGTACTTTGGAAATCACTCAAGCCAGTTTCTCAACGATACGGGGGACAGCCGAAACTTACCGAAATGACGCTCTGCATATGCGATATTTATGCAATATTTGCCTACATTGGAGTTGTTTGCGGGGTCAATGTGGGCATTGTATATATGTTGTTTTTCCATGCATAGTCATTTGCCCCATAAAAGATGTGGTAATTCTTGGTCTATGACCGGCCACCCTCTGTCAGAGCCTTGCACCTCTCCAGGACTATAATTATGTAGCCTTTGGTAGACTCTTGATTCTACTTCAACCTCGAAATGAAGAGGTTCTTCAATCCCAATTCAAACGAATATATTTTATTCTTCGAGAATCAAGAGTCTACACTACCTGGTTCACCATGCATTGTACATTCAAGCGACCTAGTCGTTGAACCGAGTCGTTGAACGCGTGCGCCTCGAAGCTGACCAAGTCGTCCAGGCCTTCCGTGGGTCACACCTTGAATTTGATGTCCACTGACGCGCAGACGCTCGGCAAATTCGCTTGGGGCAAGATGGCGGGGGGGCATGTCTTCCATGGTAAGAACAAGGCAATATCCTAGATGTACCAAAGCTGGCGGATTGATATCCACTAAAAGATACCAAGCCTCAAGGAGCATGGACAGAGTATGAGAACCATTGAGAACCCTGTTTGCTTCATAAGCAATCTTTTTTTTGGGAAACTGTGTTGTTATGGTCAACTCTTTCAGTGAAGATACGGCCAAGGAAGAACAGAGTGCCACAGCCAAGAGTTCTGAAAGAGGGGATTCAGCCAGCAAACCACAGTGGATTTTGACGTTGAGCTGCTGAATGTGCGATGTCACAGATCGCTGTTTCGTTTTCAATGGTTCATTCAGGCAGGTGGGCAGATTTGGGTGGTACATGGTTGCGCAATCTGGCAGAAGTTCTTTACCCTTCTTTACCATATGTAACCAGATTTCTTTCAGGTGAGGGACCATGAGTCTAAAGACCATTTGTGATTGAGTGGGCCCATTTGCGATCCCTATCCTTATCCCAACCATGCTGAAGGCGTTCTGGGCCGTTCCGGGGAAACAGTCCAGGCATCGCAGGACTGGACTTGGTTTTCTTTTCCACCTGGTGATCTACATCCTACATGGCTCCAGAGACCTTGGTTGACCGGTTGCACCCATCAACACATAGCTCGAGAGGTCTTGGGCGGCTGGGAGTCTTCAGGGCAGTTGAGCAAGCCTTTTGAGAATCCAAGAGGTCATGACAAAGCACTCTGGAGGCATCCACTTGAGCAACGATCTAATCCTGCTGATCAGCTGATCTCCGGAGTCATAGTCCACTCACCAGGAAGTTGTTAAAAGTATGTAAAAGAAAGACAATCTCTTTCTGTCATGACATCCAACAATAACTCCATGAGCCGAATGAGGAAATTCTTAGAAGCGCTCCCGTTCCTCCACAAGCTTTGGGCCTCTCCGCTGCTTGCCACGCACGTGCCGAATCCTGGCATCGCGACACCGCACAGTGTGCTGGGTTCCTGGGTGCCTTGGGGTTCCTTCCCCATTTAACAGAACGTACTTCACACAGTAAGGGTTTAGATCAGTGAGGATGTTCAAGCATTTCCGACGTGGTACAAAATGATTTGATTGAACATTGAAGACAGATTTGATCTTTATTTGATCAAGTTACCTATGCGAGTGGACTCCCCACATATTTTATTATGTAGAGACACACCACATTTACTCTGGTCTATGCTCACATTGTGCTTGTATTATCTTGTATATACATTTCCATTTGTTGTGCTACCTGGAGGCACGCTTGCATTGAGTCATTTTTTTCAATTTGTATGTTTTAGCTTCTCCCGGATGTCGCCACCCCAGAGTTCATGCTCAGGCTGCAAGTGGTGATCGCAAGCATTATTTTGCTGGCCCTTGTGGACGTGAGCGCCCTTTGTGGCATCGCGGCGCCTGAACTGTATAGAGGGTGATTTGGGTTTGCAGGAGTTTACGAATCCAATTACCCAAAAGATCCCAACAGTAAGTTTATTCGCCTCATTGTTCAAGGTACTTTGTGCGAAGTCTACAGTAGGTGGGACTGAAACAAACACTGTTCTCGAGCTTTGTACCATGATGATAAGTTATTTGTACATGTGTCAGCGACGGCTTCACGGCAGTGTTGTTGATTTCACCTCTCATAGGTTCTAAAGAACCTGAGCCGTTCAGGTCTCGCTCCTGGGCCCAGGGCCATTTGGAGTTGCTACAGCCAGGGATTGGGATGGATTCAACCTGTTCATATTGATTCAAGTGGTCCGTACTTCGTCAGTGTCCTGTTTTCTTGTGACGAAAACAACATTGAAGATGTATATGTTCAACATTCTTCACCAGCACCACCCAACGGGCGGCTATTGGATGGAAAATACATTTTCAAGGGGGTTTTCTAGTACCACTCTTTGGGTGGTGTTTTTAACTGTGCAACTGTTGGCGTAGGCCGGGATAAAAGATGTGCAAGCACCTGTACAGATCGGAGATGTGAGGTGTCCTCTACCTCCTTCACCCGCACGAAGGGAGAACGAAGGGAGTTTTACGTCTCGGACGAGAACCATGAAGACGAAGACAGAACGCAGGGAGGAAGACGACTGAGGCATATTTTTTCGTGTTACGGAACCGTGTTCTCCACATCTCTTTGCCCAGCAGCCCCTAGCATCCAAAGATTAGTAACCTTCCCATCAAAGACATTAAGACACTGAGGCAAAGCTGGTCCTCTCTAGTGTGCGGTTTCAGGCTTCGTGGCCCTGGTTGATCACACAATTGTTGATCGAAGGTTTTTGATCCAACTGTCAAGTTTAGATGCTTTCACCCATTTTGCGAGGGGGATAGACACCTTCAGGAAAAAAGCAAACAAACTATAATTAACAGATGTTGCAGGACATTTGTTGCCTCCAAAAACGCTGCTTCAGGGATGGGACTTTCACCCGGTGATGCCCCTAACGGCCCTACCGGAGGTGCTCGTGCTGGTGGTGCCCATGTCTCGTCAACTGGCCAAGCTGCTGAACCGGCCCCTCGGCTGTTCATCCTCATCTCGTCTCGTTTGAGCAGCTGAACCGGGCGTCTCGGTGGATCGGGATGAGAAGATATTTGAGAATATACCTGGTTGGGTGGGAAAATCCGGGAACCTTGAAACAACTACTACTTCAGAACCCTTCGGAACATAAACCTCTTCTGGACTTCGAGAGGTCCGTCCTTCCCACCGCGAAGGACCAGGACGTCCCTTCGAAACCGAGGTTCCGGGCGCAGCACTTGGTCTTTCAAGATCAGCGCGTGCGCATGTGTGTGGAGATGCTGGAAGGCGGAAGGGACGGGTTTTCACCGTGAAGGACGGTTGGTGGGTTTTGTGTTTGGTCGTGTGTGTGTGTGTGCATGTGTGTGTGTGTTTTCTGATTTGGTTTTGGGGGGTGGGGAGACCTCCCAGTTTTTAAGAGTGTGTTGTTTAGAATATGAAACGGTGGGTGATGGTACTGTCGCTGAATAGATGTTTGGCGTTTGGGGATTGCAGGTGCATTGAGAGCTGTCAGGTGCAGCCGTTTGACCGGTGCCTAGACTCACCTCACCCACCGTTTGTCGCCGGTGCGGCAGCATCTGGACCCACCTGAATCGACGGGTCCATGCTCCGTCGTAGGTGAAGACATCTTGACCAAGTCTTTGGTCTAGAATACCGGCACCTTCCAAGCTGTCTTCTGAAGACCCAATGTGGGTCAGGGAAGCTTCCAAGCCAGGAAGAACTGCCCTGTACAGCCCACGTACTATTTGTGCTGGCAGCAGAGGTCACAGGTCGCAACCTCCATGTCCGTAGACACCGGGTGACTCCAGGTCGTTTTCGACCCTCCCGGAAAACTATCCAGTCAGTGGATAAGGAGTTTTTGGGGAAAGGCAGGCTTTCACCTGTATTTTTGTTCACGGAAATTCAGGTAGTCAGTCCAGCCAACAAAGGCTTTAACCTGTACTTTTTTGAGGGAAATTGAGGCATTTTTGTTGGATCGAGGGTAATTGAAGCATCAAACCAAACGAAAGAAAACACACAACCAAAGTCTTTCGAACAATGCTTGCGATTGGGGGAGGCATCCGTTGCATCAAGTACTTTGCCTGGGAGAAGCCCTACTTGCAGCGGGTCTTTGGCTTGCGCACACATGAGAGCCTTGGAGAATTCCTGGCACACTGGTTGCTTTGATGAGTACCAACCAATCGCGAGGTTCAAAAATTCAATAAGCGGACATGGACATATTGTCAATAGCCTTATATATAGCAATGTAAGTTGAAGACAACTTGCACTGTAGCGAAAAGAACGCTATAACTATAATATACTATAGGTAGCATTAATTGAAACCTTCAACATCTCCCACCACAGGGGGAACCTTCTTCGGCGCGGCTGCATGAGATTCTACGTGTGGACAGCTTGAGTCTAATCACAGGTTGCAGTCAGTGTATCGATTTAAAGTAGTTCATAACTCATAACGGTTCTATGAACATGTCTTCCGTCCAGATAGCGATTCATACCCTTGGGTTGGTGGTCCAGTTCTTTGTTATTAGCTAGCCGGGCTAGCCGCCAGGATTAAAACACCTGATACTGATTCTCCACAATTCATGTTGCAATGCGAGTATGTTGCAGTATGTTATTGCCTTCCCTCAGAGGAGTATGGAAGCTGAAGACAACCTCTTCTTGTGCAAGAACATGAGCTTTCAAACGCATGGTCTATCGTCCATGCCTTCGATAATTTTTTAGATATGAACATCTACCATTGATAATCACTGATTCTGCTATTGAATGGATTGCAGTACAGTAGGCAGTAGATCATTTTGTTTCGTGGTCCGGCACCACATGAGGATTTATTGGGCTTTGCGCGAGTCCTTGGTCTTTGGAGCCTTGGCTGCTGTGGGAGAAAATTGGATGTACCGCTGTTTGAAAGAATAGACCACCTTCTGCAGGGTTTGCAAAGTTCACGACGCAAAACCGTTTGCATGGAAACCACATATTGCACAACGGTGTTACCGGAGTTCTAGAGACAAGGCAATATCTACTGATTTGTGTTCCGCTGGCTTAGCCTGTCTTGGGATGTCTTGGGCATATACATCGCCAGAAATGGGAGATGCATTCTTGGGATTGTTCCACGTTTGACACGGATATTCTCGCTCTGACAGGTTTCTCAATGATCTTTGCAGTCTTGAGCCCAACTTTGGCTTTCACTGCCACGCTCTTGGCCTTTGTCCTGCAGGCGATCAGTGAGAGTGTTGGTAAGAATCCTGTCGTTGAGTTTGACAATTCACTAGTCCCTAACTTCCCTAACTACTACGGTGGGTTGAGAGTAGATGGCACAATCCCCAAAAGGTGGTTTATATGGACCCCTATATAAAAGACATCTTTGGGTCCCCGGGCATTGTGCCATCTACTCTCAATCCACTGTAGCTATTAATTGCCTCGGAATCATCGTTCCGTTTAACTGCTTGCTCAAGTCACCCGAACTCATAACTGCTTCCGTTGTGTGATGCGTCTTTTGTCCCCCCAAAAAAGCCTGCAGGGCTCTGCCACCCTGACGGCCACGCGGGTCTTTGGGACCTTGGCCTTGCTGAATGCCTTGCGCTTTCCCATCATGGACCTCGGTGGCTTTGATGTGTGTGGAAAGGAACTGAATGAGGAGGTATAGCGCAGTGGCGAAAGGGAAGAAATTCATGATCACATGGTTACATGGTAACTGGTACAACACAAAAACTCAGTGCCTGCTGGAGGTTTCAACATTGTTTTTGATCAAGTGGGGAAGAGTTTACCTGGGCGGTTTTGGAGATCCAAGTTGGTGAGAAGGAGTGTGCTTGCCCAACATGCGCGAGCTGTGTCGGCCTGTCCATGGGCCTGCATCGATCTGGGTGTGCTAGGACAAAGGCCGCTGGTTCTATCTTGCGTTCGCTGCAAGATTGATGGCACATATACTGCAATATGTTGCAATGAACAGAGAGTCAATTACAGAAGGTACACCATTATTTGGGCGTTTGAAGAGAAGTAGCCGTTGATTCAAGGACTCCTCAGACAAAAGCCTCGAGATGAAGTACACGTGGTCAGTGGCACAAGATAGACGAAGAGGGCCTTGGTGTCCGACTTGTTGGTACAGTGGTTTCAGAGTAGATGACACAACCCCCAAGATGTCTTTAAGATGGGGGCCGTACAAACCACCGTCACTTGGGGGCCCTTGTGCCATCTACTCTTGAAACCACTGTACCCGTTGACCCAAAATCTCTATTTTGGATTCTTCAGTTTGACCTGAAGCTGTAGGTAGCATGCTGGCCACCATCGTCTCGCTCTACACCTCCTGGCACCGTCTCCGAAAGTATCTTCTCCTTCCAGAGGCCAGTCGTGTGGTCGATCGGGTGGCCTTTGGAAACGTCTCGAACCGAGTCGACCGGGTGTTTCGAGACGCCGGGCGTTTTGGTTCGCTTTCTATCAGAAACGACTTTAAATTGGAGGATCTCTCTGGAAGTGGGTCCTGGACCTTGGGCAGTTCATGTTAGGATGTTAGGAAGTTGATGCTGACGTTTGACGAGTCCTCGTTGGGTTCATCCTGGCTTCGTCTTCATCCTCGGTGCCCCGAAGCAAGTCTGACCATGCCCCAGTGGTGCAGATGCATCCATCAGTATACCCGTGAACGGGTCGCTTGCAATAGCCACACAGTTGCAGTTCTAAACGAATCTACCACCGAGTCCTTCCTTATTTTGATGCGGTATCAATATAATTGCACTTTCTCTTGAGCCGGCTCGGTCAGGCGGGCGTTCCTGTGCAGGAACTCAAGGACTCTTGGCCAAAAGCGAGTTTGGGTGGGGAAAGCCGGGGTTTTACTGCTTGGCCATGGAACCAGCAGGAAGTTCATCCGTGGTACTCGCACATTTGTCGATCAGTTGGGATGGTTTTATGCACATTTACCGATCAGTTGGGATGGTTTTAAGATGCTTTAAGGGTCAATGTAGGTAAATATTCCCCTACAGATCAATGACCTCATTTTATTGAACTTGGTCATGCAAGGACACTACTGTTTAAAAGACCAGATTTTACTGGATAAGACTGGACTAAGTCCGGGTTCCCACACCAATTGATTCCAATTACATGAACTGTTAGGGGATTGAATCCCATGACCCACACGTTTGACCAGCAAGCCGCTGGGACAATGTCCCGTCCTATAGAGGGTTTTTCTTTGAAGTCAAGTGCTTCAAGCAAAACATGTGAATCATTTGCATGTGTTTTCTTCGGCTGATGTTTTCTTTTCACCTGTAATTAGCGCGTGACAGGGACGACCATTGGGCCTGTCCAGGACGACTTGGTGCAGGTTCAGCTGGACCATTGCAGCTTTAGCCATTGGACCTAATGCCTGGATGGGCCGAAGGAGATGGGAAATCTGTGGAGAGATGTGGAGAGGTTGATTCATGGTTTAACCTAGCATTGGTCATGTGCCCTTGTCAAATTAGCTGTGCAATCAGGATTTACCACAAAACGTGCTGCAGCTCCGCTGGGCTCAGTACTGTATCTGTGACGCGGTCGAGTCGACCAAACCCGAGGCGGTCGTTTCAGAAGTGAAGCAAGTTTATGCTACATTTTTTGCGGATGTTTGAGTTGTATTCTTCCCAAGCCCTCCAATTCTTCCCAAGTACCCAGCTAAATGGAGACCTCTATATCCCATTGCTTGGACGTGCAAAAAAACGAGAAAACCAAAACTTACATCATCTCCCAGGCTGCACAGAAGGAGGGAAAGAGCTCTTCCGGCTCAAGTTGGACACTGAGCTGCAGGCAGGCGCAAGAACTGCTGGGCCTGTCAAATGGGAAGACAAGGGGGTGACGCTGACGCCATCTTTGAGCCGCCTCGTTTGCAGGGTGTGGCCACAATAAAACGTCGGCTGCTTGTTATTGCTTTGTCCTATTTCGTTGAATTGGCCCTTTCATATTTGGCCTTTCTTCTAAATTATAAAGTCTATCATCTCAATTCATCTCATTAAAAGATATTGAAAGCACAAAACGAGACTGGCCGACTGCACCCTTCCGGATCAGCCGTCCTTCGTCCGCTTCCGCCGTTCACCGCCGGGTCCGGCCAGGTGCGGTGCGGCGAGGTGGTGGTGATCTTGGGCAAGGCGGCGAACGAAGGGGTGCGCCGGGCGTAGATCGCGATAGCATGCGAAGCGGACAAGAGGATACAGGATGATACAGGTACGTAGAGGAACCAGAAGTTGTGCTTTGGAGTCTATGTTTGATCTCTCCCGATCTGGTTGGTTGGTTGGTTGGTTGGTTGGTTGGTTGGTTGGTTGGTTGGTGAGGTGAGCAGCTAGAGTTTCGGGTTGATGAGTTGCCCTTCTCCTCTTGTTAGAAGAGTCCCTGACAAAGCAATAACAAATATAGCCGACCAGGTCCCTCCAAAACCAACACTGGTCCACCAGTTCAAGAGAAATCTTAACACCTTGTAGCCCTGAATCATGAACCCCTCAACTAGGCCAAGCTTGTCTTGTCGAGACTTCCACACCCAGGAATCATAGGAGGTTCCACCGATGTCGATTGAGGCTTGAGGTTCCTCGTAGGTTCTTCCATCTCATAATAGTGGTTGACTGGTCGATACTTCCTTTTCCCGAGGGAGGTCAGGGGGCCATTGTATTCTTACAACTTGTAATGTAACTTATAAAATATTGTTTGCGCACTAACAAAAATCAACCACTACTTTCTCAAGCAAATCAGGTTCCTCCTTGTAGCGATGGACGGGCGATGGGGTTCGGGTGGTGTTCGGTTTCTTCCCCGTGGACAAGACCTCCCTCGCTCCTTGGAGCTGCCCACCTGCCCACCTGCACCTCCGAGGTGGGCAGCGGCAAGTCGACGTTGCTGCAGGGCCTCTTGGGGGAGGTGAACTGCCAGGGGACCTTCCTCGCCTGTCGCGGCAGGTGAACTGGGCGTCAGTGTGGTTTCCATTGGATGGGGCCTGTGGGGTTGGTTTCGCCGGAGTCTGGATGAGTCGGGGAGGCTTTGTGAGTCTCTTGAATTAAAGGACCTCTACCTCTACTGTACCCTAAATTCATCTAAATTCACAACTCCCCTGATTTGGGGATGTGCACAGTGTGCTTCAAGATATATTTTCGGAGTCTTGTCTCCCGTGCTTCAAGAATTGCTCGGCTACTTGTAGCCTGCCAGGATTGCCTATTGCTCTCAACAAGCTTGGATCCGGAACGAGTCGATGCGGGAGAACATCTTGTTCGGCGAAGCCATGGACACGGAGCGAAGCGGATACCGGATGCGATCAGCTGTCGGATGCGATGTGTTGATGGTAGACGATGAACGGATTGTTTTGGGGGGTTAAGGCGGGAAAGAAGCTGATAGTCTAAACATATGGAAGAGATTCAAAGTAGAGAAGACTGCGCATGCAGCATCCTATCAGCATAGTTATCAGATGTTATCAGCATATGTCACACTTTACATTTGAGTGAGTGTCTTCCGCGCACCCAAGGCCCAAGATGGGCTTTGAAAAGGGTCCAAAATGTCGTGACCTTAAAACGGTCGCCGATTTCTTCGCCTGACGAGATGGGACACCAAGCCATGGACAGTCCCATCACTGTCACCTCTTGAATTCAATCCATCCCAATTCTTGGATCATGCAGCATGCATAATGAGCCCCTAATTAGTAGCGTCCGATCGCTCCGAGGCATGCATCAATCATCCTGACTCCCCCAAGCCTCTTGGGAGCAGAACTCAAAGACGACCACCTTTCGGCCGCTAAGCCGGCGACAGCTAGCTCCAATCGGCGTTGGTAGCAGACTCCACCGATGTGGATTCCAGTGACCACTAAGAAGCACTATAGTGCTTAGGAACCAGGCTTTCCGTCAGTCTACGGCTTCTTTGGAACCACTGGTTGTCTATATATATATATAGCTTAGCCTGGCTTCACCGGCTCTGACCACATGGCCGTGCAGGAGTGGTATACCACAGTGCTGGAGGCGTGTGGCTTGGCCACCGACCTGAAGCAATTGGCCCACGGCGACCTCACCGAGATCGGTGAGCGCGGCATCACCCTGAGCGGAGGTGGGTGGCCTCAGATTCGCTGGGGACGGCTAAGCCGTCCCTGGGTGGAGAGAGGTGAATCCTGAATTCGACACGTTGAGTTCGATCCTGAATTTTTGGGACGGGATGCGAGGTGTGAACTTGTTGTCTTGGGAACCAGAAACAGTCAGTTGAGTTGTTTTGCAACCATTGAGTGTAGCTAAATACCGATTGATGTCCTAGCAATTGATCCTTTTGCGTATGTCCTGGTAATTAATTGTTGCATAAGGCACGTGTTTGTTTGTGCAGTTGGCATGTACTTCCGTATACTTCCATCCTATGAATATCGAGTTATTGATTCAGACGACATGGAATCTGTTTGTGTCAGCTTGGCCGGCAGAGGCCAAAAGCAGCGAGTGGCTTTGGCGCGAGCTGTCTACAACCGTATCTTTGCATGATGTTAAGTGTTCTTCTGAATTGATGCCCTTGTTGTAACTTCTTGTACATTAACTACAAACTAATCACATTGTAGTTCGATTCTTCGTGCTTTGTTTTAAGCCGCACCCTGTAACTGTGCAATCTCCCTGTGCCGCAAACAGCAACAGCAATGCATTGCTATGTTCGGACATCAGGCCGATTGCTCAAGCCTCATCCTCCATCGTTGACAATCTTGGCCTTCTCCCTTTTTCAATGGCAGCAGCCTGTTCCTCCCACTGGAGAAGTTGGTTTGACCCCAACTAGGCAATCAGGACGCGATACTGTCAGAACCATCCCGATTCCCTGGACAAGTGGCGATGTCGAAGGGGTCCGTGCTGTTCTTTTGGGCAAAGGAATAGCCACGTCCATATCCCAGACACTCCATGGGACTGGCATATTTGCATACATTGGGGTGGTTTCAGGCGCCAATGTAGGTATTTATACCAGGACCCTCCAAGGGGTGTCTATTTATAGTCCCTTAGCTGTTAAGGGGTGTGCATAAACCACCCCTTGGGGGTCCTGGTATATTCCATACATGGTATGGGTGTGTATTGGGAAGACCTCCCAGTTCGCTCCCCTGGCAGCTTCGGGAAATAGACCAGTCTACCCAGCCAGGGCCGAGAAAGGGGGTCTCTCGGCCATTCAAGATCCAATCCCCAACCGCCGATCTCGATCCCAGCACACCCATCTTCATGGGCAAAAGACAGATGTACCTGGAGAGGATCTGAATTTCCCCACCCATTTTCATCAGCCAGCAGCGCGTTTGGATACAAGTGGCCAGTGCGATCCCACATCAAAGGCAAATGCTCCCTGCTCTTGCTGGACGATGTGTTCAGCGCGCTGGATGCTCACACCTCGCGTCACATCTTGCCTTTTGGCCGCACTTTCTGGAGTGTTGCTGAGTTTTGAACCAAAAGCATCCAAAAGCCCCCCCAACGAAGAAAGTATCTTGGAAGAAGTATCTTGAAGTCTAGCCTCGCCAAAATAGACGGGCGATTTCAGTTAATGATGCCTCCTATGGGCACCACCCAGGATGCAACGCAGCAGATGACTGGTTGCACCGGTATGGGTGAAGCAGCGATGTGTGGCGTAGGTATGTGTGGCGTAGCAGCGGTCCGTGCTGATGGTCCGTGTGGCTTGTTCTCCAGCCAAGGGAGGTTGTTTGAATTGCACGTGTTTTTCTTTAAAGCTAAAGGGTTCACTGGGTGGTGAACATGCTCTTGCTCTTCAACTTGTCTTTTGGTCTTCCCATGAATGAGCCCATCCGGTACACTGGCTGACTCCATGTTCATCCTTTTTCTTTCGGGTTTTGGAGCAAACTAACAATTTACTGTAAGTCTGTTCCATGACGGCCAGAAAAGACTCTCTTCTCCATCTGAAAGGTCGCACCAGAGCCGAAGGTCGCACTGAAAACACACCTGCCCGAAGGCTGAAGTCATGACTGGACCAAGGTGAACGACTGAGGATATCAAGTGAGAGGGTTTAAATCGAAAGCCGCACACTACAGTGGCAAAAACGGTTCTTTCTGAGCTTCCCTTTTGATTCGTGTGTTTGGTCATTGTTGCAACCCGTTGTGGTGTATTGTCATTTCATCATAGGCCGCATCACGTAGATGCCTTTGGAAAGGGAAAGAATTGCGACAAATGCTGGAGGATTTTCCTGAAACTTATTATGGTCATGAGAGTTGTCCTTCCCAAAACAAACATATTGTAAGGGCTCCGCCCTGGTGCCGCCGACCCCTTTTTTGTGAGACAAGGCAGCATGGCGAGGAAGGCAACAACCGAAGTTGGACATAGTGCTCCCCAGCTACTCTGCGTACTAAAGTTGTATTGCTAAGTCGCCACT